TATTTTATTTTAATAATATTTTAGGTATTATTTTTTACTTTTATGTGTGTGAGTTTATTGTATGTAAGTGTTGTGCAGTGCCCACAGAGGGCAGAAGGGGGTGTTGGATCACCTGGAACTGGAGTTATGGATGGTTGTTAGCTGCTGTGTGGGTGTTGGGACTAAAACCCTGGTCCTCTACAAGAGCAGTCATTGCTCTTAACTTCTGAGCCATGTCTCCAGCCCCTACAGCCAGAATTTTAATGTTTTAGAAGTTATCTTTAAAGTTTTAGAAATTATCTTTAGACTAATTGTCAAGGAAATTCTGTGGACATTTGGATAAATATTGCTTTTATGATTGGCATACTTTATTCTATGTATCCCACATTTCTTTTAGTTTCCTGGGTTTGATTTTTTTTAAGTAAAATTTTTCACAATTTTACACATGTTTAATATACTTTTATCATATTCATCCAAATTATGTTCCTTATCCCCTTGTTGTCCCTCCAACTCACTTCTTCCCACGTCCTCCCACCCTTTTTTCAACTCTTTTTTTTTTTTTTTTTTTTTTTTTTTTTTTGGTAACCCACTGCACTTAAGTAGGACTGCCTGCCTGAGTAGGCTCAGGAGTTATTACCTGAGAAGTGGCAGCTTAGCAGGGATTCTATCACTGAGGACTATGAACCTCTTCATCAGCAGCCATTACCTTACCACAGCTCCTCAGGAAAGGGTGGGTCCTATGAGCTTCCCTTCCATCTCATCTATCCCTACTGGATCTTGATGTGCCCAGTCTTTAGTAGGATTTAAATAATTAGTTACTGCTTCTCTGAGTTCATGGGTACAAAAGTCCATTTTCATGTCCAGAAGATGTTTTCATCATATTCTTACCCGTCCTCTGCTTTTTTCTCTTTCTTTTTGTCACCTCTTTTGCCATCTTCTCTGAGAGTTGGAAGGGGTGTTACAGATGTCCCATTTATGGCTCTGCATTCTTCAGTCACTTACTTTAGAGCTTTGATCAGTTATGAATCCCTGTATTAGCTGTCACCAACAGCAAACAAAATCTTCACTGGCCAAAGCATACACAACACAAATAAATGAATGTGTGAAAAAATATTTAGAAAGTAATTGAATACCATGTCCATTTAGCAATACAGCCATACTATGGTCTCCCATAGGGCCTTTGACATCCCCAACCATGGACTTTTGGCCAGGTTTAGAGTAGCAGATATGAATTCCTATTTGTCCTGTACCCAAACTATCTGATGTCTTCAGAAATAAGCACTGTTTGACAATCCTGAGCAATGACAACAACCTAGCATTGTCTACCAGGTGTCTGGGGCCTCCCTGACCAATACCACATCAGGAGATAACCCATATCTGACACTGAGATTTTTGTTTAATATCCTGTGGTTTGGGGAGCAGCATTATCTAGCTATGTAGGAACTTCCCTGAAAACTCTTTTTTTTTGTAATTATGTTTTAAAATAATTTTCTTACAAAATGTTGGCTTCCAATAGTTTTTCCATACATCTTTAATTTTGGTTAATTCCAATTTCAGCTCTTCTCCACTCCCTAGGCCTATCCACAATTAATTTCTACTCTTATTTTCTCAATCATACTCTGCATGCATATTACATCTGTTATACTTTCTCCCGCTCTTAAATCTTCTCCCCTGGCCTGAAGAAACAGAAGCTTTCCAGCTTATAGCCCTCCCAGGGACTCTGTGTTAAACACAGAAATCAAAAATTTAAAGCTAGGATCCTTATGTGAGCCATCATACATGACATTTTTCTTTCTGAGGCTGGGTTAATCCATTCAGTATATTTATTTTCCAGTTCTCTCAATTTTCCTGCAAATCTCATAATTTCCTTTTTCTTTAGAGCTGAATAAAATTCCATTGTGTATATGTACCATAGTTTAATTAGACACTCATTAGTTGATGGACATCAATGCTAATCCCATTTTCCTACATGTAGATATCCAGCTTTTCCAACAATTTTGTTGGAGAGTTGCCCTTTCTTGCTTGCTTTCTTTTGGGACCTTTGTCAATTAAGTGGCTATGGCTTGGTGGGCTTACATCTGGGTCTTCTGTTCTACTCCATTGATCTACTTGACTGTTCCTGTGCCAATTCTATGTTGTTTTTATTAACATGGCTCTGTAGTATAACTTCAAAACAAGTATGATGATACTTCTAGCATTGTTCTTATTAGCTGTCAAGGGACTTTTCTGCTTGCATGAGAATCTTAAGATTCACTGTATTCTGTGAACCCTAGGTGTAGCAGTTCCACTGTAGATGTGTCACCAATGGCTTATTCTTTGTGTGTGACCCGTTGTGGGGGTTTAGAGAGTACTGATGCATGTGTCAACTCTCATCAGTGAAGCTTTCTCATGCAACAGAGGTTAATTGACATGGATGGTCACAATTGGCCAAAGTGAGTGGAATAAGAAACTGCAGAGTGCATTTACCTAGGTAGGACTCATACTAAATCTCACCCACCCAAGGCTCAGGGATCATTGCAGAAGAATGGGGTAGAATTCCTAGAATTATCTCCTAAGACTGCAGAAACAAGAAGGTCAGTAACTTCATTTTTACCTGAACATATAGTGCTTAGCTCTTTCATCCGTGAACGAGGGATTAAGGTAGATTCTACCACAGTGAAAAAATTCAGGATGATAATTTAAAAGCTTAGTTTTGTTATTTCCAATACCAGTCAATATTTTAACTGATAGATTCCTGTTCTAATAATCTCTTATTCATAGACAGTTTGGATGGTACAAGTTCATCCCCACAGAACTGGGTACTCAAAGACTAGGAGTGGACTTACATGCTAAGGTGGCAGACAACATAAAGCAAATTTAATTCTGATGACCTGGAAAAAGAACTCTGACTACTAAGACATTAATACTGCCTATTGCTGCATCCAATATGAAATTCTTATGCTCAGTTCACTTCTTCCTTTTAAAAAACATTGAAATTTTCTGCACTTATTTAACTTTGAAAAGCTAATCTTTGTTATTTATCTCTTTGAGAACTGCTTTATTTACATGTGGTGGGGGATCCTATCATCCGGCTATAGGACAATGCCTAATTATCATATAGAAGAAGACTGGGGGCAGTTTTATTGCAGGTAACTCTGCCAAAGGTCATGTTCCAAATAAGGCCAGGCACCTGTGCTTGGAAGGCACTTTCCAGATAAGTCAGGCAGAGAGTAGGCAGCCCCCACTGAGAAAGGGAGTCCTCCATATAACGCCAAGCTCCTTAGAGCTCTCCGGACATGGTGGACTGCAACCTTAGCAGCAGGGTCCCCCAACATCTCCCCCTGTTTTGTTTTATAATAGAGATGTGTCATCATAAGCTTTAAGAGCTAACTCATCTATCTTGGGAGAATCCAAAGTCTGATAATTGACTATGACCTAAATGGTAGAAATTTTGCAATGGTAGTAATTTGTCGGTGAGAAATTTTATGAAACAGGGAGCAAGCATCAGGATAACACATAGCATAATCAGGGGGCTATTGATAATGTAACATTCCCCCATCTGAAGAGGTAACCCCAAAATCTTTTTGGGATAAGAGCTTCCAAATACTTTTAGTGATTTTGGCCTTTGGGTCAGAGTACTTTGCTAAAAGGCCCAAGGATATTTTGACTTTTAGCCAAGAAAGAAATTGGCTACTTTTCTTTGGGGTCTTTTTACCCTAGCTGCCTAGCCAATTTCTATCTCCTATTTTTATTACATCATCCTTTGAAGAGGTTTACCCAAATTGCCAATAGGGAATTGGGACACAGACTGCTCTGGCTTCTTCCATGCTGAACAGGGATGCAGGGTGAGGCACTTGGGATACCCCCTTCAGTGAGTCTATCTAAAAGGCTCCCAAATTGCATAACTCTTAACTATAGGGAGGAAAGGAAGGTGCTTGACTCATGCCTGGGAGATGTGAAGGAAAAGTAAAGGCAAGAGTAGTTAATATTGCAATTTCTAGGCAGGGAACCAGAATATGTCCAAATTAAAGTCCATTGGAATTTTTTGATGAGGGCTTCCAAAAGCATCCATCTAATGGGTTTCTCCTTATTTTTCTTTTGCCTGTCAAAGCTAGACTGATGACTGATGAACCCAGGATTCGTTGTCAGGCACTTTGATAATTGTTGGAGTGGCTAGAATCAGCTCCCTCTTAAATGGCCTCTAGATAGGGAGAGAAAACAAGTTTAGCCATCATTTTAGAATAGTGAGTTGTTTCCCTCAGCTGCAGTTGGGCACTACAGTATTGTAGACCAAGATTTAAAGTTTTACATTTGAGTAGCGTTGTCTTATTAGGAACAAAATCATCAATGAGAAATTACTGTTTAAATAACATCTTAAGAACTTAAGACTAATGTTTGGGACATGTAATCCCTTGAATTTTTAACAAAATATACTGATGACTTTAATCTTTGATTATACTTTCCTTTTGGGTGTTGAAGACCATACTGTTGGCCCAAATAAGCCAATTTATTTTTACTTTTAAGGTGATATGAGAATCTGTTCCTCAAGGGTCACATGGGCTTGGTGGGGGGGCGGGGGCAGGGGAGCCCTTGGCTCCTCAGGCTTTTCTTTATCAGTTCCATCTATGTGAAGATAAGTCAAGAGGTCCTGTTTGACCTGGGGTTCGCTTAGAAGCATGGAGGAAATTTTTCCTCGGTGTTGACCCTCCTCTTCGTAGACTGGACACTGGCTCAAGTACATCTTCTGGGGTCTCCATGGCCTCCCTGAACAAGAGAACTTGGATGGCAAGGAACAAA